TGCTGTTTGACTTCGGAAGCCGACCAAGTTGTGCTTTGGCCATCATTGCGGGGCCCTCAGGCGCTGAAGACTTCAAGGCCCTCTCATGCGAGTCTTAGTGCACCTCTCTTGGATCTGAGAGTCTCAAATCTATCTCCTTCTGTCCTTCTTACTCTAAGTCCAGTTTATTGGTTCTGAGAGAAAGGCGGCAGGCGGGATTGCAAACCGTAATCCGCGCCAAGGCCTTTGTGGGAGGTTGCCCCACCGATTGCGGGAGCCCTGCCGGAACTCAGGAGGAGTTCCGGAGGCAGAGAACTCAGAGGTAACCTTTGACTTTTCCTTATAAACCCAGTATAACCCCTACCTACATCCCCCCCTTATATATTGTTTGGCTATGCTGAGTGCAACCTCTACTTTGACTTTTGAATTGACTTTTAGGACACAAATCAGACCAACTAAAGGAATGTTTGTATAATGGCATTTTCACTTTCTTGATTGTCTGAAGGCAGATTGTCACAAGGGGTGCATCAGGGGGAAGGTTGGGAGAAAGATAGTTTTGCTTGCGATTGAACGAGTCTTATACGGTCAGGCATTGTTTCTAAGATGAATGGCCTGACTGCTATGTTTTGTTTTGTTTTCTGAAGAACCAAGCATTGTTTCTAAGATGAATGGCTTGGTTGCTGTATTTCTTTAATTGTGCCAGACACTGTTTCTAAGATGAATGACCTGGTTGCCTATTTGTGAGGGGTATTGTTTGCTTGACTTTTGAGGGTCAGACATTGTTTCTAAGATGAATGGTCTGGCCGCTGTCTACTTGGGTGGTTTCTAAACAGTCTCTGGGTCAGACCCAGGGTACTCTGCTTTTTTTGTGTGCTGAAAAAGGGAGAGCTGAGCATTGTTTCTAAGATGAATGACTCATCTCTCCTTGATTGTTTTATTCTGAGGGAGGATCCAGGGTCAGAGGACTATACATTGTTTGTAAGATGAATGGTCTAAGTCTGAGGCCTCAGGACCATAATGAGAACAAAGGAATAAGATTATCTATAAATATCGTATATTTATGTACTCATATACGAACAAGGCTAGTCAGGCATTGTTTCTAAGATGAATGGTCTGGCTATAGCCCTATCACAAGCAAAGGGAGTATAATCGAGAGTTATAACTGAAAGTAACCTGGGCAGGCTGGACATTGTTTCTAAGATGAATGACTCAACCCTACGCCCTCCTTTTGAAGACTAAGGTGCAGAAAGGTATATATAACTTGGCTATTTAAACAGTTTAGGGCGACTAAGCATGATTTCTAAGATGAATGGCTTAGTCATATGCCGAACGAAGAGAAAAGTAGTCGTGCAACCAGTTCGTGTATAACTAAGGCAGAGGGATGACATTGTTTCTAAGATGAATGACCAGTCCCAATGCCCTATGTAAGCAGGGTATAAAGGGTTAAAACACCGAAAGACCGTGAACTAATGTTTGTTAAATCAACTTGAGGATGGTGAGAGTACTTACGTTTGTGGTTTGGCTTGCATGTGGCTGAGTGGCATCGCTACCTAGTCTGAGTTTGAGTTGATAGGTAGTTGCTGTAGTGACTCGCTACGTGCTAGAGCTTTAGGAGTTAGATTCAATTTCTGCATTTTCTGAGATAGTTTTTTTTTACTTAGTCTGATTTCTGCTTTTATCTGAGGTTTTTCTTATACTTGGGCTTGTATAAATCTTGGTAAGCCGCTTTTCCTACGGGAAGCGCTGCCAAAATTTCTGCAAATCCAAGGATTTAGTCAAATTTAGACTTTTCAGAGTTCAACTTGTCTAAGTTACATATATGGCCTAGTAGAAATCTGGAAAGTCTCCCTTTCTAAAGAGAGTGCTGCCCAAATTTTTGCTGGTTCAGGGAGTTAGACAAAATTGGGCTTTGAAAAATCAAAGACTATTCATGATTTTATATTTAGGATTATATAAATTATGGAAAGACAGTTTTCCTACGGGAAGCGTTGCCGAAATTTTCTTAGTTTAGAGGAGTTAGATTATATTTTAAGAGGGCCATCAACTAATGAGAGTTGGAGTGAGTTTCCTTTTTGCGTTTTCATGGTTGGACGTTATAGTCCGTGGTGGCCATCAAAGTCAAACCCTTGATGTTCGACCGCCACGACAACTTAAAACTGTCTACTCAATGCCTCTGCAGAGGGTGCAAAAGAGGGTGTGGTCTTCAACCGCGCATGGCAGTTGTCCAGCGTCGAGAGATTAACCCTCAAGGCGTGTGTCAGCCGACACTTGAGTGTCGAATGCGACCCTCAAGACTAACGAGGACCGCGCGAGTGTGGGTACTACATAGTACGCCATCATTGTGCCTGTTTGCGTGCGTTTGCATTGCAAGTCGATATGGCTTAGCTCTGCGTCCGCGCGGTTTTATATCAAGTCCCGCGCGCGACGCCTGTCCGATTTCCGCATCAGAAAGTAATGGGACAGCTACTGAGGGGCTAGGGGCGTTGTCCTAGCCGACCGGCGACGAACCGCCCTTGGGACTTCAACCCCCCAAGGTGTCGGTCCGCGTGCGGGTCCGATAGGCGTGCTACCGCGCGTACCCCCTATGCTACAGCGAAGGAGAAACGCCCTCGGCTGGTCCACCTCTGCGATTGCAATTGAGTAGCTTTCGTACTGTGGACTGGTAGCTCGGCGGGGATACGCCCACCTAAGGGAGGTGCCAGGTCCCGTAAGGTGGAGGTACGCTGTGCCTCGCGTAGGCCTTATCCTGTCGTAGGGGCTCGCGAGAGGTATGGCTGGCGCACTCGATCGGAGCGGCCTAAGGAAGCTCCATTTGCGTGTTCGCGAAAAGGTTAGTCCAACTCCTGCGTGACGTGGCCGAGAGGGTCCCGCGCTGGCACAAGCAGTGCCGGGCCGATGCGCCCGATAGGTGGCGCCGTTGCTGGGGATAACGGAAGCCTACCGTTGTCCCTGGTGGAACGACATCCGGGTACAAGTGAGAAATAGGCATAAGAGAGTGATAAGTGTGATTGAAGTGAAAGATAAGTGATGAGGGACTGAGTATAAAAAAGGAAAGTAAGCACCTGTATATGTGTATTTGGTTGTCTACCCGGTCCTAGCAAGAGCGAAAATGGTGACAATACTCACGTCGAGGGGGAGGCTAGGTAGGAAATGCGGGCTAGACCAGGTTGGAGTAGGATGCTAAGTAGGTGAGTGCCTTTGGTTTTCTCTTAACAGGAATTTGGAAAAAGAGGCCTACCAAGATGCCGGAGGGCGGTGAAGCCGAAAGGGTCCTGACCCTCGAGGATCTCATCGTAGCCCTAGATCGACATGAGAAGACCCCAAGTAATGTTCCGAGGGTTGAGACCTTCCACTTTGATGGGGAAAGGGTCTCAGATTGGCTAGACCTGGTGGAGCAGGCGATGGTGGGATTGTCAGATGAGGTGAAATTCCAGCGTATCATGAGGTACGTACTCCATAGGCACCATCAGGAGGTGCAGAAGGTTGTGGATGCCGCCCACGGCAGTTGGGCAAGATTCAGGGAGAACATGTTACGCAAGTATTGGTTGGGTGATGGGTTGCTTACCATCCAAGATCTTGAGGGAATGAACAAGGATGACTTTACCACGATAGGGGCCTTCGTACAAGAGTTTAAGAAGAAGGCAAGGAAAGTTCACAGGATCTCTGAGGAGAGGCAATGCGCTATCTTTTTGGGACTGCTTACTGGGTCAGAGGCGGCCGAACTGACAAATCATGGAGGAGGCAACGCAAAGCTTACTTGGGCCACCATCGACAGAGGAGTGGAGGATGGGAGTTTAGACCAGGTAGAGAAGCATCAGATGCGTCTGCAAAGGAGGAAAAGGAAGGAAAGGGACGCTACTGCATCAGGGACCCCGGGGGTGAAGAGGATCATCACTGATGTACTTGCGGCATTAGGCTATGGCCAGGATGCCGAGGCGCAGAGAAAGGCGGTAGCCGTGGTCCAAGGCCGAGGGAAAGAGGTGGGGGATGAAGCCGCCGGGCAAGAGGATTATGGTGGGGAGGAAACGGGGTCACAAATCCTTACCAAGGCCCAGCGGAAGCAACGCAATCTGTTGCAGGGTGGCCAACGGTCTGGCAAAGGACAGGCCCCCCAGGCAATTGCTGCACCACCAGTAGCCTTCGTAACCACGCCCATATCGACAGGGTCGGCGCCAATGGGGCCACCCCCGACCTGTGGACATTGGGTACCACATTGTCAAGCGGCACCCTGGCCCAGCTGTAGTCATTGTACCTCGTGTGGAGGGGGCCAAACCCATACCGGACAGATGGTTGCATTCTCGAGTCCGTCAACGAGCGCAGAGCCGCCAAGTTTCCCGGCGACGCAAGGCAAATTCACGGCCCAACCTGCCCCCTCACAGCAAGCATCGCAGGCAAGTGTGGCAGGAGGAGGAGGCCAAGGGCAAGCAGGACAGGGCAATGGTGGTCGGGGACAAGGAGGCCGAGGGGGTGGCGGACGAGGCCGAAATGGAGGGGGACGTGGCGGTAGGTGGAACAGCCAAGGGGAACAAGGCCAAGGTGACCAGGGCAGTCAGCAAGGAGGCCAAGGGTATGGGAGACCCCGCTTCGACTGGCGGAACACGACCTGCTGACATTGTGGCATTGTAGGCCACACGATTCGGTTCTGCCAGCAACGGCGGGATGATGAGCTTGCGGGCCTGATTTCCTCTTGTATGGATGGGGATACATACGACAAGTGGGGGGAGCACATTGACCCCAGGACCCCGGGAGGGATCAGGCAAGAAGCCCTCAGGCGGGCAGCGGCATGGCCATCGGCTGCCCCGGCCATGTTTAGAATGTGGCAGGGGAGAGAAGACCGGGCCATAAGAATCGAAGAGATCACGGGGGATAGTGAGGAGGTTACACAACGATTAAAAGTCGGAGCCATAAAGGAAGAACCGATAATTGTTTAGTCAGACGACGAGGAAAGAGAGGATGATAGGGAGCCGGTAGTAACCACCCTGGAAAAGATGGAGGATTTGATGGAAAAAATAGGGAGGTATCAGCGGAAGCTGAAAGAGTTATGCAATGAAGTCCAAGGGTGGAGAGCCGACCTCCCAAAGGTCTTCCTCTATGAGACCGGGCGGGGCCGGCGGTTGGACAGCAGAGTAGCCCCGGGGTTGCCGTGGCGGGGCTGGCCCCAGGTCAGGAATGATGTTCAGGCCGCCCACCCCGCACGGGCGGGCGCCGCAAGGAACTCAAACCAGGAGCCAAAGTAAGGTGGGCCCTAGTCAGCCACCAAGCCAAGCGCCAAGTCAGGCACCCCCATGGAAGAGACCTGAGCCTGAGCATAGAAAGGAGGTGAGGATGACGACACAGAGGATGAGAGACTCCGTCAGGAGGAGGATCGGTGGGCGGAGCAGAGAGCGCAGAGAAAAGAGGCGCAGGAGAGAGTCGGGCCAGGTTTACAGGATGGTGTGCCCAGGAAAAGAAAGTACACCGTCAGGTTGGAGGAGGACTTTGACGTGGAAAGGATGGTGGACCGGCTCCTTGAAGGTCATAACGACCTTATGATCTTAAAGGATATTCTGGCATCCGCACCAAGACTCCGGGAAGAGTTGAAAGGGCGATTGTCTCGAAGGCTGGTGCCCAACGTGCATTTGAGCGCCGTCCTGCCCAGGGAAGTGAGATGGACACAAGCTGGGACGAGAATGGACTGGAAGTGCGCGGCATGCGGACCGGTGGACTTGGTAATAAAATAGAAAAAGTGCGTGGCGATGATGGATACAGGCGCTCGAATGAATATCATTAGGGAAAGAGATGCGCTCATGCTCGGGATGGAGATCGACCATGCAGATCACGGTGTGCTGCACGGGCAAAGCAGTTTTTTGCGGCACAGCGTCGAATGTGATCATAGAAATTGGCAAGGTGCGAGCAAGGATGTGCTTTTTCGTCATGCTAGATGTGGACCATCCCATCCTTCTGGGCAGATCGTTCATGTGCAGGACGGAGACCCTGACGGAACGATGATATTGCTCCTGAGTGATCCAGCCTGTGGGAACTACGAAGTTGTCACCTGCCGGAACACGGGGCCAGAGAGCGAACGGAATAGGCCTAACCCCGGCTCGTTCACCTATGCGGAATCGGAGAACGAGCGGCGGAGGCTCGCGGAGGAGTCCGAAGAGGAAGGTGGGGCGGAAGTGCTGTCACTAAGCCCCCCCCCCCTCCCTTTTTCTCTCTCTCTCTCTATATATACATCTTGGACCGCCTCCTAACAGCGACCCTTGGCCCCTCCGTTACAAGTTTACGCAGGGGAGCACAATCGTCAAAGCAGAGGCAAAGCATATTACATGTACCAAAGGAAAAATATATATATACATTTTTTCAAAAACAGAAATGAACTTCCTTTCGTTTTCGTAAAAAAAAAAAAAAAAGGTTGGGAAGAAACATCCGCGCGACTCCTAGCCCATTCCCGCCTGACCCCGACCCTACTTCCCTATCCCAAGGTATTGCCTTCGACCTCTCTCTCTCTCTCTCTCTCTCTCTCTCTCTCTCTCTCTCTCTCTCTCTCTCTCTCTCTCTCTCTCTCTCTCTCTCTCTC